TACTAAAGTGCTGGACACAGATGACGTACATACAGATTGTGATGAGTTGTATGAGCCCCTAATAAAATGATTATTTTTAAAAAAATCTAAGCATAATTTCTGAGCTTACTTTAAATGCTTAGTTTACTTATAAGCTTGCTGAAATAAGGCTGTTTTATAGTGGCTTTATATCTACATCTCAGAAAAAATACCAAAATAACTTAGGGTGGATGTTTACTGTTTGAAAAGTTTTTTGAATTGATTATTCATCCACATGAAGGGGGGGAAAAGCAAAAACAAATACTTTGGGTCCCAATTCATTTAAAACAATAATTACTTTTACATTACTCAAACAGTAAATTACTACTTTATGGAAAGGTATTTTACAACCTCTAGGAAAAGAAAAGTCTTTATGATTAATATAAGTTGAAATAGGTATATCAAAATACAAAACAGTTCAACTGTTATAAACATCTCCTAAATTCTAGTACTCATTCTTACACTCTAATTTAAAAAGAAAGACCTAACCTAATAGTACTTTTGCAAGATATTTCAGGGCCCTTATTTTGAATACCAGTTACTCTGCAATGACAGTGATGCCTTAATGGGCTGCTGACATGTGTAAAGGCTGTCTCTCCCCCTCCCCAGATAGTCTTCCATTTGGGGCTGCTAACTTGGTGCTTCTCCTACCTCCTATCTTGTGGCCAGTTGGGTTTTCTCTGGCAGTGCAATCTTGGAGAGAACTGTTTTCAAATAAAAATCGCATCGAGTAACGTGTAAAACCAATGACAATATATTTTGTGTTCACAAAGGGAGAGCACCATGGGAATCCTGACCATATTTTTCTCTGGGCTTATAGACTTTTCTGGTTTTTCCCCTCTAGCTTACCTAATGGTTCATAGATATTCTGAGCAGGTAAAGTAGCCAGAAGTTAGGAAGGGAGGGCGAGCTGATAACAAGGATGACTGTATAACCCCACTCGAGGGAAATGAGCATCAGAATTTTAGGTGAATGGATACATTAGGTAGTGTAAATTATGGCAAAAAAATAATATATAATATATTAAGAGTTCAAGGGGGTTATAGGGTGGGGTAAGGAAGGGATAAAGGAAGCTGATTTCAAGGAGCTCAAGAAGAAAAAATATATACTGAAAATTATAATGGCAGCAATTAAACAACTACACTTGATCTAATGGAATTATGGATTATAATAAGATCTGTAAGAGTTCCCAATAAAATTTTTAAAAATGGATTTGAAAAATGTTAAATGTTTCTCACTTAAAAATGAAAAAACTACTAATATTACATCTGAACCCATCAGTTCAAACATTTTAACTATTATAGCCCTTAATAGCCTTTTAAGTACCTGCACTGGCTGTCAGTGTTGTTTTTTGCTCAATCCTGAAACGAATTTCCTTTACGACTTCCTCAGCTGATGTTCCAAAAACAACCGAGTGTTGGAGTTTCAAAGGATTGTTCTGTTCTTCAGAGTTCACTTGGAAAGGAATTTCTGGAGCTTGTAAGCCAGGAGAACTATCTTCAAAAAGCAATGGAGAGACGGATAGTTCATGCTCACTCAATATATGATCTTCTTCTCTTGGTTTCTCTAAATTATAAAAGAAATATTAATTCTCATTTTAAGAAGTACATACTTCATAAGTTTGGTTCCCCTGTATTCTTTCCTAAGACCGAAAAAAAAAATCAAGTTTAATTTTGTTTTAAACGGTCAAGTCAGAAATGTTACTTTGCATTTTCTAACAAAAAACAAGATTCCAAGTTTTCCTTTAAAAAAGATTTCCATCCCAACTCTATGTAGTTTTAAAAGAAATATCCCATGTAAAACTCACTAATTTTTATACTTACAATACTGAAAACTCAGAATTTGATTTACCGTATACACTCGAGTATAAGCTGACCTGAATATCTGCTGAGGCACCTAATTTTACCACAAAAACTACATAAAAGATGTGCTGGACAACGTGGTAACCAATAGAGAGAAGACTAAAATAATTCCACTGAAAAAGAGGACCAGACAAGGATGCCCCTAGTCCCCACTCCTATTTAACATCAGACTGGAGGTCCCAGCTAACAACATAAGACAGAGAAAAGGTATTTGCATGGGGAAGGAAGAGGCAAAACTATTGTTATTCACAGATGATATAATTTTATTTATCAAAAATCCCCAAAAACTCCACAAGTGGAGTGTAGGAAGCGATAGAGGAATATGGCAGAGTGGCAGGATACAAGAACAACAAACAGAAGTCTATCGGACTGCTATACACATCGGATAAGACCACAGAAGAGGAGATCAAAAAGGTAGCACCCTTTGTAATAGCCAAGCACAAATTGAAATATCTAGGGATATACCTGACTAAAAGAACAAAAGATTTTTGTGAGGAAAACTACAGAACACTCATACAAGAAACCACAAATGGAAGAATGTCCCATGCTCTTGGACTGGAAGACTCAATATAGTAGAGATGCTAGGTCTGCCAAAAGCACTATATACATTTAATGCTATCCCCATACAAATACCATCATCCTTCTTCAAAGGATTGGAAAAACTGATTACAACTTCACATGGAGAGAGAACAAGCCCAGAATTAGCGAGAACTCCTCAAGAAGAGGACAAAGTGGGAGGGCTTGCTCTTCCTGACTTTAGCACATATTATACAGGCACAGTGGTCAAAACAGAGTGGTAGTGGTATAATGACAGATATTCAGAGCAATGGAAAAGAGCTGAAAACTGATTTTTGATAAGGGCCCCCAAAATATCAAATGGGAAGCGGATGCCCTCTTCAATTAAGTGGGCTTGAAAAAATGGATATCTACCAGCAGAAAAATGAAGCAAGACCCTTACCTCACTCCGAGCACAAGCATAAACTCAAGGTGGATCACAGGTCTTGAGGTAAAACCCCAAACTATTAGGGCCATCAATGAGGGAAGTGGGACAAACCTGAGAACTTTGACTCAGGGAATACAAAGGCTATCAAAAATAGGGAAGGGCACAAACACAGAGGAGGCACAAATTGACAAGTTGGGTTTATTGAAGATAAAACACCTGTGTACATAAAAAAAATTCACCAAGAGAGCAATAAGGGAGCCCATGGACTGGAAAAACATCTTTAGCAATGACAAACACATCAGACAAAGGCCTTATTATTAAAATCTACAATACTCTGCTAACTTACAATAAGAAAAAAACCAATTGTCCACTGAGGAAGTGGGTAAGGACCTGAATAGATGTTTCACAAGGGCAGAAATCCAAATGGCCAATAAACATATGAGAACATGTTCCAAATCCTTAGACATGAAAGAAATGCAAATTAAAACAACTATGAGATGCCTCCTAACACCCTCAAAGATAGCCCAATAAAAAATCCCAGAAAGTAACAAGTGTTGGAAGTGCTGTGCAGAAATAGGAGTTGTTGTGTCCACTGGTGGTGGATCTGTAGGTAGGTACAGCCATTAGGGAAATTGGTTTGGTGATACCGAAAACAAATCAAGCTACCATATGACCCAGCAATCCCCCTACTGGGCATATACCCATAAGAGGCAAGAAATAAACCACGGCCAGACATCTGTGCTCCAATGTCATCGTGGCACAGTTCATTCACAATTGCAAGGAGTTGGAAACAACCCATCAATGGAATTTCCATCAACGGAAGAATGGATTAAAAAATTGTGGTACATATATACAATGGAGAATTGGGATGATAGTGGCGGGGAGGAAGCATTAAGAAGTAGAGGAAAGTTGTATGTTTCATTAGCGCTATATCAGTACACCCTGACTAGCTCGACTCCTCCCTTCTTTAAGGGGATGTCCAGCTGCCTACAGAGTAGCTTTGGGTCTCAACTCCATACTCCCCCTCATTCACAATGGTATGATTTTTTTGTTCTTTGATGCCTGATACTTGATCCCATCAACACCTCATGATCACACAGGTTGGTGTGCTTCTTCCATGTGGGCTTTGTTGCTTCTCAGCTATATGGCTGTTTAGACCCTAGATGCTTTATCTTTTGATAACCAGGCACCATCAACTTTCTTTACCACATTTGCTTATGCACCCACTTTGTCTTCAGTGATTGTGTTGGGAAGGTGAACATCAAGGAATGCCAGTTTAATAGAACAAAGTGTTCTTGCATTGAGGGAGTACTTGAGTAGAGGCCCAATGTGCATTTGCTACCTTAATATGTGCACATAGATCTATTCCCCCATCATCATATATAAATATATTTACATATATACATGCCTGTATTTAGACCGCTATAAATGCCCTTTACCTCCTAGTTCTTTCCTCTATTTCCTTTTACTTTCTTCTTGTCCCACTATCATGTTCAGCCTTCATTTGGGTTTCAGTAATTCCTCTCAGTTACATTGCCCTTGATCAAGCCCTACCAGGCCTCCTATACTCTCCTCACCATTGATCACTTGTTGTTCCCTTGTCCCTGGGTTTCCTAACTCCCACTTCCTTTCCCCCACCTCCCCCTTTCCCATGTCCTCCCAGAATTGTCAGTCCTGTTGTGTTCTCCTCCAGATTGTTTATCCCGCCTATCTTATCTAGATAGACCTGCAGAGATAACAGTATGCACACACAAAAATACAAGACAGAGCAAAACAAAGCAACAAAAGAAAACAAAACAACAATAACAAAAAAACCAATGACAAAATAAAAAGCCTATAAGTAATTCAAGGTCTGTTTTTTGACCTTTAAGAGTTTTCCTGTTGGGGCCCCACACCTTGCCCCAAAGTATTTTTGGTATCCCCTGAAGACTTCGTTGCTCTGTTTCCCCTTGCACACCTTTAGTGTTGCACACCTTTAGTGTTTTGCCTCAGTGTGGTGGGGTCAGATAGGGCACAATTCCTGCACTGTGTCTCCAGTGTTGTCCCCGTAGTGCTCTGGGTCAGTGAGGGACATCATGTCTCATAGTGGGGCCGACCCTATGGTCTTTTCTCTGCTTTGACTGCTCTGAGTGGGAATAACATTCTCAGAACTTGGTGGGCCAGGATGTGCTCCACTCTCTCTTCCTCGCCCTTCATTTGCTCCTGTGTTCTCTGATCAGACATGTCCCTCTCTCTCAGCTATAGCTTCAGTGCTATCCTCTTCCATGATTTTATTACATATAAAAGCTTTCCCAAATTGAGGTCGATGCAGAAACAAAATTAAAATTTCTATTTTCAAGACATACATTAATGCACATTACTCAAAAAATTAACTTGGCTTTCAGGAAGATTTTTTAAAGATATTGTTTATGAAATTGTAAACTTCTAACAAACATCTGTGAATAATACAACTAGCTTCTGATTAGTTTCAAAATTTAAAGTATGCAATATGAGTTAAGTTATAGGTGGTTGGTTTCCAAATCTGAGTTCCCAGATTACATACAAATTAGCCTTACTTCAAACTGTACATCAGCTATATCAATTCTTTTAATTTTCAAGATTAAAAGACAGAAGGTTTTATTGTAGTCAAGACATTATTATTTTTAAAAGTAAAGTAAAAATCCCAATTTGCTTATTATATAATTTTATTTTCATTTTTCATAAGTGGAATGTAAATCTACACATTTAAGTGTAGTTAAATCTACACTGATTTAAGAGGGAATTGAGACTTGAAGGTGGTTGAAGTTATATCTACCTGGTCCTGAACATCCATCTCTACCTAGACAGGGTGAAATTGAGATTAAAAACAAAAGCTGCTGGAAAAAACAGGTAAGAGACCAAGTAAGGAACCTGTCACGTACGTTCACAAGCCCCTTTCACAGTTTCTTAAGCTATGTTGTATATCTCATGGCTCTACCAGTCTGCTCTCAGCTGAGCCACTCTGACAACAGGAGTTTCAGAGAGGAAGGGAAGACATGATGCCGCTGCACAGTGCAGTTACCTTTCCAACCTGAACTTCTCTGTGAGGCCTTGCTGTGAAACCAGCTGCTGAGTGGTTTCTTGTAGCCTTCTGATAGAAATAGTTCCATTATCCCCATAAATGAGATAATCAGAGTATAAAAGCAAGGTTTCTTACAATCTGAAACACTAGAATTACAGCATCCCAAGGGGAATGACAAGGGCTAAAAAAATGTAAGAGATTTCAAAGTTCCTTCCTTGACATTCATCACTCAGACGGCAAAAATAAACACTTTATAATAATTGTTTTATGGATATAGAGACACAGTACTTAACACTGCATTCCCAAGGGCAAGCCACCTTTTGAAAATGAAGCAAAAAGTAGAACAGGATCTTTTATTTTAGAAGAATATTTAGAAGAGTTCCAACTCACTGGCTAATAGGGTTCCACTGCATGTGAGATCAGACATGCCTGAAAGCTCAGCCCATGGGTTTCCAAGGAGAATAAGTTAAACTACTTATGTATGAAGAGGAAAACATACAAATTAATATTTAAAGAGCAATGTCGCTGTTGTTAGAGGCCTTTGAGTTGGGTGTGACTCATAGTAACAGTGCGTACAACAGAAGGAAACACTGCCTTGTCCAGCACCATTGTCACAATTGTTGCCATGTTTGAGTCCATTATCCATCTCCTTCAGAGTCTTCCTCTTTTGCTCTGCCCCTGTACTTTACCAAGCATGATATCTTTTCCAGGGACAGGCCTC